TATCTATTTGTGTTATGAATTGCTTAGCTATGTCTGAGTAGTTTACTTGTTAAATTTAGGGTTTAAATAGGTTAGAGGAATTAGCCCTAACTATAGGATTGCTAGTTGTGAACCTCATTAATAGGATGTTTTAACTGCTCATGGTTTTAGAGTAGCTAACTAGAAACATTGAATCCCAGATTATTTAGGTTGGATTAGAGACATTTAAGTGATTCTGATAATCCTGAACACATCCCTGTTAAGCTAAGATTTATTACAAATAAAATTGATATGATTTGATTTAGAAATATTTAGTCAGTTTATGTTAACTCGTGTGTATTGCTTGACCGGACTCATCGATCGATCTTCCTAACAGAAATCGATCGATGATGAGTTTAGTGTATTGGTCAATGTTCCTATCTAATAATCGATCGACACTGTCAAGTGCGAACATCCGGTCATTAATTAGAATTATTTATTTGAACGTTATTTTAGATAATTTGTTAAACAAGATAGTTAATGCTCATAGCATCTCGCAAGCAACTGAATAGCATCCTATAGAATTATAATCCTAAAAACCTTAATAAAAACCCTAAGTCTAGCATCTTTTCTATTTTAGTCTTAAGAGTTTTTGTTTCCATTCTAGATTAAGTAATTGTTTTGCTTAACTGAAATATTTCCTTTTTACTATTTATTGTTTCTGCTATTTATACATTCACCTAGATTTACATTTAACTAGATCTATTAGGTTCCCTACCTCCTTGTGGATTCGATCCCTAAGTACTACAGCTGAACCTCTTATTTGAGAGAGCAATTCACTCATTAGGGTAATTTGAGTGATATCAAGGTAGCTCACGACCTGAGTTTAGTCACTCACCACAAACCAATTCCTCGCAAAGAGATCAAACTCCAAATCAGGAAACAACTAATCCGCATACATATTTTTCTGTTATGTAGAAATGCAAAGTTGTATATAAAGAACCATTCGGATAATAATTAAAGATAAACCTTCACTTTTACAAATTCGATTTAACTGCATGAAGAGACTCGAATCAAGTCTATGGAAATAGTTAGTTCCCGCTAAAAACACGGCGCTTCGTAATAGTAAAATCATTACTTAAATACAACTTATCGACGCGATATTATCGAAGTCGATCTACGACCACAAATATAAAACAATAGGTCGCACGCTCAGAAATAAAAAGAAATCAAACAAACCACTATTATTCGTCCATTATTAATCGCTAGAAAGAAACAAAAAAAAAGAATATAAAAAGATAGAACTAATCATAGCATCGAACTCGCCATCTTCGTAGCGATCCCTATTACACCCCTGCTCACCACCAGTTTCATCTCCACCAGGAGGAACCTTAGAGAAGAAATCCTCGGGTAAATTCTCAGAAATCAGAGGAAGGTCCAACTTCCTAACCAAAAAATCCGACACCGCTGCCACATCGAGCTCGGCTCCTAATTCGACTTCCTTAGCTCGAAGACGCGATAACTCGTTAGAAGCGAGGAGATTATTATTCATTATCTTCTTAATGAGTTTGATGTTAGCCATGTCCTCCTTCAAACGAATTTCGCAATCCGCTGCAACCTTCTTCTTCTCCTACTCCTCCTTCAATGACATCAGCACATCCAAATAACTGTCGGCTAAGGTCTTCCTAGCATCATAAGTCACACGACGAAGTTCATCCGTGTGACTTGTAGTCAAATATTCGATTTGCATATCCAGTGCGGAAACCTGCTCTAGAACTCGTTATTAGCTTCCAAAGCCTAAAGAACACATCAAGAATACCCATAATGAGAAAGTGAGAATCAAAGGTCAAAAGGCCAAACCAACCGACCTTAGCATGAGCGACCTCCATCTTTACGTAGGCGTTGCGCTCGGTCATGTTTTACAACGAAGGACGAGGACACCCCGGCAGCTTGAAGTGCCTAACCAAGTGAGCGACACTGTCGGGATCGTCTGTGATTGGACAATCCTAGGCATGGGAAAATTTCCAGTGCAACGGCTTCGCGACCGCACCTTTACTCGCGGAACCAGAACAAGCATCTTTCCCCGAATTCTTTGCTTTCTTCGGAGGACGATCACGCCCCTCCGAGCTATTCGGACTACCAAAACTCAAAAGAGTTGCAGTCTTCGGTTCTTCACTATCTTTGACTTTGGATCGAGCCTCTACACAAGGAAGTCGAGGCTCCTCACGAAGGACCTCGGTGAGAGTTTCACTCACATCACCAGAACGGATCCGTCCCGCTCCATTGTTCCGGTTACGAATTCTTTCAGACCCACGGGAACTTGTTTTCCTCGATGTCATGATTGACGAAAGAAAGAGAGTAACTTTCAGAAATATGAGGATGGAAGGAACGAATTCGACATTTATAAAATCTCAAAAATTTGGAGAAGAAAAAAAGATACCATAAATCAGTGGTTATCAACAAAACATTCGAAGAGCAAAAAAAACAACAACACGAGATATTCGATTGAGAATAGAAGAAATAAAAAAGAGATAAAACCTAAAATCAGCCCAACTTTGGAAGAAGATTCTCCAATTACCGAATCACCGGAAACCTTGGGAAGATCCAGATCCGAGATAGTCTAATCCGCAACTGCAGCAAGTTTGAAGAGACCTTCGCAATCCTTTTCCATCTCCCTAAGACGAGCCAACTCATCATCGATAACCAATCCACCGTCCTTAATCTCATTAAGCAGGGCAATGTTCGCGATCGCCTCCTTCAATTGGATCTCTATGTCGGTTTCGTTCTTCTTGTCCGACCACTTCTTCTCCACGAGGGACAGGACCTCCTTGTGACGATCAGTGATCTCGCGACGCATAACACGAGATTTACGACGGATGTCTCACTCCCTCTCCGCAAAGAATTCTGCAACCATGGATTTTTGATTGGCGACATCGGTCTCAAATACCATCCTCTCGTCATGAGCCTTCGTCCATTCATCCCTCAAAAACTCAGCTTCCCCAGTCTTCTTCTTGAGATCTTCCTTGAGCTTCCGAAGCGATTCCTTGAGACTCTTTGCTTCAGCCCGCGACCTCGCTAACTCTCTTACGCCGTGGTCTTCGACGAACTTGTCAATGGCGACCATAACCTGCAAAGTACCAAGAATATCAAAATGAGACTGATTTACCAAAAACATGACGGAAAGGAACATAATTAACCATGGAGTTGGTGTCTGCGACTTTAGCATACACGTCCCTCTCCTTGAGAGAAGCCGAAGGAAGAACAGACATACTCGGAGCCGATGCATCGCGACCTCAAATCAAAGAAACATCTCGCGATGTCGAAGATGCAATATGACAATTGTCAGCGCTTGCGGTTGTTGACAGCAGAATCCTCCTCCAAACTAGGACTCAAAGAGATCGGGGATCCCTCTTGTTCTAGAAGTACCGTCGACTTCAAAAACCAGAATTGGGATCAAAGGCGAAGCCTCGTTCGCGATCAAAAAACGACCAGTCCGGGCGATCTTGCTGCAACATCTTTAACAGACCTAAGAGCTCATTCCACATCGGAGAGCTTCCGGAATGCACAAACCCATAAAACGATTATAGAAGTCAGATATCAAAGATAAAAATAGCGTATATGATTAAAGAACCAAATAAGTCAGAACTAACCTATATCGTCGGACCAAAGACGAGGTATCCTCGCGAAGTAAAACTAACCCACTGACAAATGATCAACTTTAAAGACAAAGAATCCTTCTCGCCAATCTTGATCGCGGTATGGAATCCCTTGGATCATATGGCGTCCTACACGTGGCGACATAAGGAAGGTCTCCGGACTCTGAGTATTCCGCTTCAGCAAGCACAAGTGGCGCAGCTCCTCTGAACCAAATCGCAAACCTTCTTGACGACCTCTAACCACGAGGGCCAAGAGGTGCCTCAAGAAGTTTGGGGACATCTGAGTGAGAGAAATACCCAATTCAGCCACGATTTCAAGGATTGGTCCAGGAATCGAGAAGAATGGACCGCAAGATTCGAAGAACGAGAGATACGCTCCGTAAAACCCGTCACGAATAGCCTCAGGGGTCTCAAGCATGGTAGCTAGTTCGAGCTTGATGCCCCGATCGACACCATATGTCGTGTACAAAGCCTCAGGAAGATCAACTGTGGTTGTCGGAAAAGGGAAAGAAAACGATGCATCCATCTTCGTTTAGAGAGAAATTGAAAATCGTACAAGCAAGAGTGGAGAAGAGAAAGAAAGATTTAGGAGAGAAAGAAGAACTCCAAGTATTTAAAGGACATTTGCCGACTTCAGAACGGTTCCATCATTAAAAACAATAAGACAGTGATTAGGTTTTCACCTCGAGTTCGGCGCACAATAGCCGTTAGGAACAGGAGGCGCATCCCAACGGTCTATAGACGCGAAGGCGACACGTGTCGAGTCCCTGCCGTCACAGAAACTGAATCGCTCTTCATTTATTGAGTCCGAATGGGCCATCTTTATCTTTCAATAAAAGAAAAAGATTGGGGGACAAATGTTGGACACAACTTCAGAATTTAATTAAAGTAGGTCCAAGTCCGTGCAATGTCATCATGAGCTCGACGTCGATCAGACCCAACGAGGTCGAAATGGCATCCCAAAAATCGCGAAAGCAGTTAGAAGAGGAAAAAGCTATAAAAAGAGAGCTAAAGCAAAACACAAGACACATGGAAAAAAACTCTAGAGCATATCACCAGTCACATCGAGCTCACTCCATAGATTTATAGTTCGCTTATAACTTCTACTTTTGATTGTTGTTCTCGATCTTGTTTATTACTTTTAATCGAATCCCATATTTAATAAAATACATTTTTGTCAATCGAATTCCGATTGTATCGTTGTGTTTAAGAGCATCGTTGCCACATGATTTATCTTCCCATGATTAAACTCTTGATCAATACAAAATATTTAGTGTAGATTTTAGAATCTACAATTATTATCGTCTCTATAGTTTTCTTCTTTTTCTCTCGATCAACAAAACTTTTATTGTTCATTTAAGTTAACCTTTTTGTGACAGGTTGGAGTCATTTTGCTCAGTTTACTATATCGGTGGTGAATAAAGATCCAAAGAAATCAAAGCATTTAGGTTATCTTTTGCATCTTTTACTTTTTGAATCCTAATTATACGACTTAGATTAACTGATAACATTTCCTTGCAGATACGTTATACGAATTTTGCAAGAAAGAGCAGGATTGGGGATTGAAAAAGAATATGGAGTTACCTAAGTTACATGACGGTTTCATAGATGAGTACGACTCTCTTACAATAATGGCTCAAGTCCAGGTCATTAGGTAAATCTGTGTTTATTATATCATGGCACCATATATATGCATCCAAGTGATCTAACAACTGATTCTTACAGAGACAGCGTGAACTGACCTTTTCCCTGCTTTGATGTTCACTATAGGAGGGAACTTGCTGATATACCATGATTTTGACCCGTTTTTTGTCATGATTTCTATATGTTTTTATTATAATTATCTATGTTTTGGAGTCTATTAGGTATGTTTTCAGGTTCAGGAGCATTTTGTGGTAAAGTGATGATTTAGGTGCCTTATGGAGCTTAAAGGAGAGTTTTACAAGATGACTATGAAGATTCGACGTTGAGAGACACATATTGATCGATACACACCTTGTGTAATCGATCGATGACGATTCCGTAGAAGTTGAAGTCGAGATACTCCATCGATCGATGTACGCAATGTACCATCGATCGATACAGAGCGTGATGAGCAAGATTTACTTGGCCGACTTGAAGCCCAAGTTCTCATCAAATTACAAGATTGCCCCTGACGAGTTTTTAACCTAATTGTACTCCATATTTATAGTTATGCCTATGAGCTCTAGAAAGACAATCATTAGATCTAATAAGAAAGTTTTGTATTCTATTTCTACTTAAGCAATAAAAGTATTTTCTTTTCATCTTATTCTTTTGCTATGAATCTATTGGCTATGTCTGAGTAGATTCATTTGTTAGATTTGGGGTTCAAATAGTTATGAGGGATTAGCCCCAACTATGGATTGTTGAGTTGTTATATTCATTATCCAAATGAACCCTAATGCTTACTCTAGATTTGCTACCTAGAGTTATGATTATGGAGTGACTAATCTAATAGTCATTTCCTGAAATCATTTGGCTAATCCCAGACTCTATTAGGCACGATGCGACAGCCGGTCTGATAGAAATTCTCGGGTGAACACAGTTTCAATCCGATCTGATGATATATATCGATCGATACTCCTCTAGAGTCATCGATCGACGGCAACATATATCGATCGACACTGCGATAGCAACATCGATCGATACTGTCGGCAATCAGATCAATGGATGAGTCTAATAGNCGACAGCCGGTCTGATAGAAATTCTCGGGTGAACACAGTTTCAATCCGATCTGATGATATATATCGATCGATACTCCTCTAGAGTCATCGATCGACGGCAACATATATCGATCGACACTGCGATAGCAACATCGATCGATACTGTCGGCAATCAGATCAATGGATGAGTCTAATAGCGACAGCTATAGATTCATCTAAGAATTGAAGTTCTCATATATTTGCAAGCAATTCATTAAGACATCCATAGATTTATAATCCTGATTTTCTGAATAGTAACCTTGAATCTAACTACTTTCTTTCATTGTTTTCAAACCCAAAACTTATTTTCCGTAGCAACTTACCATTGCTACCTATTTTTATTTATTGTTTTAAAATCTTTTCAACCTAGCTTAATCACTTAGGATTATATCTTTTGTGACTCTAGTTCCTTGTGGATTCGATCCCTAAGTACTACGATTGAACCTCTTATTTGAGAGAGTAAATCACTAATTAGGGTTAAACATTTGAGTGATATCAAATTAGGCGCCGTTGCCGGGGAACTAAGATCACTGTTAGATTTAATCTGATTTAGTCTAGGTTATTTGTTACTTTTTATTTTTCCATCTTTTGACACAAATTTTTTCTTTTTCTTTTTGTCTCTTTCATGTACATGCCCAGCAGTACTAGAAGCAACAAGGACAAACAACTTTTGTACTCAGAAGATCCCAACAATCTGGAGCGTAGCATCCGCAAAGACTTACGCTCCACATCGATCGATACCAACACCTCTATATCGACCGATACGCGCTTTCCACCGACGATCAACAACCATTCGTCGACCGATTCCTTCACCATCCCATCGATCGACATCAACAACCGTTCGTTGACCGAGACCAACACCACCTCATCGATCGACATCAACAACCGTTCGTCGACTGATACCCTTCACTTGACATCGATCGATACACCTCACCCTACATCGATCGATACTAACCGGTGAGACATGGTAGAGCCTATGATTCTCATACCCGATGAGAATGGATACCTGCGTGAACAAGATGGTCACCTGCGAAATGCAGCAGGTCAGAAGCTGAATGATCAGAAGGAGATCATTACTGAAGAAGAGACTACACCCACAGGCATCATTCAACCTGTAGAAGAGACCAGAACTTTGGCTGATTACAACCGTCCGGATCAGTTCTATTCAAACCGATCAACCATCCTCCCTCCTCCTATTCAGAGAGGAGATTTTGAGCTCAAGCCGCAGTACTACACACTTGTAGGACAAATCCCTTTTTGTGGTTTGCCCCATGAGCATCCTATGGACCATCTGGAGAGGTTCGAGGATCTTGTCACCCTAGTCAAAGCAAAAGAAGTCCCTCAAGACTATATTTTCTGCAAGCTTTTCAAGTACTCTCTATCTCGAGAAGCTTTGCAGTGGCTGAGACAACTACCACCAGGTTCCCTTACCACCTGGAGTGACATCAAGCACGCCTTCCTGTGTAATTTCTTTGATGATTCATGCGCTGAAGACTGAAGGAAGAAAATTGCTACATTTACCCAAGCCCCTGAAGAGTCATTCAAGGATACTTGGAACAGATTCAAGTCCTACCAGCGAGACTGCCCACACCATGGATTCAACAAAGTGCAACTGCTCTGCACTTTCTACAGAGGCATAAGCCCAAATTTCAAGAGAGCCCTTGATACAGCTAGTGATGGCAACTTCACCACCAGGAATCCTCAGAATGCTATCAAGCTAATTGATAACTTGGCTTCCTGTGGGAACCGAGATTCACACTTGTCGATTTTCGTAAAATAAGGAAAGTTAGGAAAACCCTTATTTTCCAGAGGAACCGGATCTCTGCGAAAGCCAACGACAAGTAACCAAGAACGCGATTAATATGAATAAACTGAAAGATATAAAAAGAAAAACGAGATTGAGAGCAAGAAGGATTCTTATTCCGAATTCGCGTAAGAACGGTTACAACGAGAGTTGCCTTAGCTGCGTGAGCCGTCGGCGAAATTCCTAGTTCTAGCA